TCCCTGTTAAATTTCCCATAGTTTATCAATGTGCTGTGGCTACAGAAGAGAATATCCTCATTTTTAAGGAAGACACACTGAAGTATTAACATGTAAAGTGACATAATGTATGGAACCTACTTGCAAATAGTTAAGAAAACATTTGCATTGAGAGATAATAAAGCAAATTTGGCAAAATGTTAATTTCTATTGTTCTTGCAACTTTTCCGAAGGGTTGAAATAATTTTAGGTCAATGTTTTAGAGGATATATAATCAAAAGAGACTACTAAGCCAAGATAATTGTAGGTCTTTCTCCCCCACAACAATTACGAGTTTAAATCCTTGTTTTCCCTATAGACTGCCCCATTTCTACATCCTATATCGGATCAAGAAATAAGTATCAGATTTCCATCATTTGTTTAAAACTTTAAGGACTTTTTAAAGAAATTGATATTAAAAGAATGTTATGCAGAAAAATATTTATGCTAACTTTGGTGAGTTTTGGGAAATTATATGGATCTTTTTTTGGGAAAACTTCCTACAGAGATAGGTACACAATGTGCAAGGTATGCTATAATATACAAGAATGTTTAATAAGTACATTACTTATCACAGCAAACAAACGGTGAAAAGTCTAAAAATCTACAATTAGAGAAATAAATTGTGATACATCCACATTGTAGAACACAATTTTTAGAAAGAATAAAGTATATCATAAGTACAAAAATATAGGTAAAATACATGATATAATACAGAATGAGAAAAGTTGCTGATAGATTTATTTGTATGAAAAAACAGAACTGTGCTAATGTGTTTATGTATGTGCCCAGAAACAAAGGCCTGAAAGGATAGACAGGAAGTAGTTACCAGTGATTGCCCCTGGGAGAATGAGTAGGGGGAAGGGCACTACTCAAACTGAATTTTTTTCCAAAAGATCCGTGTACTATACAATTTTTACAATTTAAAAAACAAAATATTTTGTATTCTTAGAACTGAGATTTAAATGTACTTTGATGAAATATGGTTTTAGTGAAGAACATAAAATATAACTGATATCTGAACTACCAATATATGCTTGTTACTTAGCATATATAACAAGATCTATTTTTCTGCTCAAGCCCTTTTGTTCTATCAAGTTCCATGAGTTTAATTTTTAAACTAACAAAGCCAACAACTCCTTTCTGGAAATAGGTAAAATAGTCCTAAATTGAACATTTCTGGTTACTTAACGATAGTAACACAAATTTAAAAACAAAACAAATACCAACATAATAAAACATAAGTTTATCCTGAGAATTACTTCAACTGACAGACCAAAACATGAGCTAAATGATATTCTTTAAACTGTACATGACTTATGACAGTGGAGAAACATAATAAAACTGTTGAACTTTGAATTAGTGACCATCTTATCCATTTTACAAATAGGGAAGATAATCATCATTCAAGTATCCTTTTACTTAACAACACATGCAGGATTGTATAACTATCTGAGAATTAAATTCAACAATTTATTAGGTTGATAGCACAGTATGTTCAATCCATTCTACTATAATGACATACAGACTGTCCCTACTCAAAAGACCCTTATGAAACTGCAAAAAAAGTTTATTTTACATGGAATGAAATAATAAAACTAAGGAGTACTAACTCCAGAATCTAAACTTTTCTTTTAATTAGGCAATTTGGGTGACAAATTAACTTTTCAGCCACTATTTGCAATAACTCTCTGAATGGGATCACTATTACATACTGTGAAAAGCAGTGGTTACGCTCTCAAGTGACAATTATCATCTAGATTGTTTTTATGTTGAGATTTCTAAAATCTATTCTCCTTTGCATATAAGTCCATCTCTAGGGACCTTTAGAGAAACATTTACTTTTTCAGGCATCTAGAATATTATTAGGAATATTAAAATCACAATTTATTAATATAAATCAATAGGCATTCCTCTATTAACTGAAACCCCATGAGTACTCTCAAATTCTCATTACAAGACACCGACACACAGGAGGAAATGTCTATAGTGAGCACCTTGAGGAGGTTATTTCTTTACCTCCGTGTACTAAAAGAACCGCCAATTTTCACTATTCAATATTTCCCGACTGTTACTGAGTCCCAGTCCGTGTACAAGGCTATGAGAATACAGATTCCCTCTCTAACCTCTATGAATTCACAGTTTAGTGGGGAGAAAGGCACACAATTAAACAAAGTAGGTAAAAATAAAAGTAGTGGAAAACGTCGCTTTGAGAAACAGCATATACTCAAACTAATAGTTACCCATTTTCTAAAAGCCTTGAGTTGTTTCAGCAAACACAATACATGGTGAAAAAAAACAGTACTCCAATGAAGAACTCTTGGTTTCACAATTCTTAACATATTGTAACGTGACTTTAGGCACGTCATTCTTAACCAGGGTTGGTCTTAGTCACCTCGTCTAAAAATGTCAGTATTAGCAACCTAAACCCGAATCATTTTACCAGCATAAACTAAATTGTATCTACTGGTTCTTCCGGGTCAAAGATCCACAATACTCACATACTCATCCATCAGATTACCCGAGTAATCATGGCCCAGGAAACCACTACGAGTAAGCTAGATGAATTAGAGTTCCTAAGCTGAGATAAGCTTTAAACTTGTGAACTCAGAAAATGTATTACAGTAGCCATGGTACAGCCTTATAAAATGAACAAGAATAGTTGAACATTTTGTGTATCATTCTAGTACCATACCCGTGTGAATTTCCTACCAGGAATCCGAGTTTCTGCACTACTGGAACCACGCCTCCCAGAGAAATCAAGGAGACACCAGAAAAACCTCCTCAAGGGACAGGGAAAAATCACAGACAAGCTTTCTTCCCTTCTCACCTCCCCCCCCCCCCCCCCCCCCAAGAAAAGCCCAGTGTTTTTCTTCCCCTCCAGCTATGCAGCTGCACCCAGCAGAGAAGTACTAGATTAGCATCATCTGCATTTCATTCCTTTTCTTTTGCAATAGCTACTCGCCTATAATAAACAGACCTTGTGCTCAAGGGAGAATTTACTTCCCCGTCCAGTAAAAATGAAGTTCCTTATTTTCACTAACAACGCCGTCTCCAATCAACACCCAACCTCCCCGGGGGGTGGGTGAGACCAGGCACGCCTCTCCCTGCCACCAGTGCTGCAAGCCTGACGACCCACACCCTAGGAATTGTCCCACTTTCCGACCCCTTGTGCTCGAGTGGCGAGGCTTCGGGGGACAGCGGAAGAGGCCGGGGATTTGGCGTGCACACCAGGGGGGCCCGGGAGCGCCAGGCTGCCTCGGCTGGCAGGGGGCTCGCGGAGGCGGAAGGGGAGCGGCGAACCCCGTGCCACCCCCACTTACCCACTTTGTCCTTCCCGTACATGTGCCCGGCCACCTGATGCGAAAGGGGTACACAGCCGTTGAGGAAGCGGAGTCTGCCGCCCGCCGGCTGCGGGGTGCCCTCAGGGGTGGCCTCGATCGCCGGTGGGGTCCGCATTTCTGGGGGACCCGGCGCCTCGACCCGGAGGGGGGATGGTGGCTCTGTTGCCATAACGGAGAGCAGAAGCGGTAGCGGCAGCGAGAGCAGGGAAAAAAATAGGGCAAGGGAGGGGGCGCCGGAGAACCCGGGGGTCGCTCAGGCTTGGGCGCGAGGAGGCCCGGGGGTTCCCGCGGCTGGTGCCCGCTGAGGCCCCAGGAGGGGGCCCATGACGCCGCGGGGACGCGGGCGCTCCTCTGCCCAACTCGGCGGAGCGCGGCTCCCGGCTCCTGCTCCTCTGCCGCCTCAGCCGCCGGCCCCGGCGCTGCCCAGTAGACAGAACCGAGCCGAAGAGCAGCAGCAGCGGCGCCCCGCGCTCCCTGGGGCCCTGACGGCGACGGCGGCCCCACCTCCTGCGCCCCCGCCCCCTCCCACCGTCCTCCAGTCCCCTCAGCTGCCGCGCGCGCGTCAGCGCCGCCTGCACCGCCGCTACTGAGCATGCCCAGAGGCCGTCCGACAGGACACCCCCCCTGCCATCAGCGGGGAGGGCCCGCGGCGCTGCTGGGACCTGGCGACCGCAAGCAGGCATGGGGCGAGCGCACTCGTGTTCCTTCTCACCCCCACCTCGCGGGCATTTCGAAGTCTCGCGTGCTGCTGTGGCTTCATTCATTCAACACGCTTCTCAGCGTGTCAGCTCAGAGAAGCCAGGGACTTCCAAGTGTGCGGAGCAGCCCGGCATTAGAATTGGAAGGCACTAGCATTGCCAAGGGTGGCTCTAAAGGCCACCCCTAACTGCACTCAACTCCCTCCAACTCCCACCCCGCAAAAAAACAACAGAAGTTAAAGCAGGCAGCTTATTAGAAGATGCCCCTTCAAAATACCCTTCTAGTTAATCTCAGCACCCCCTCCCCGGATTGCTGTGTCTAAACCGCTCTTACCAAAAAATTAAACATATAAAAATAAAATAAAATTGGAACCGACACTAATTTCAGACTGTAAAAGAGAAAAATCCTAATTTTTTTAAGTGAACACATTTTTTAAAGAAAGGAGCAAGTTTTTTCTCTCTCCCACTCGACCTTTAAGACAGTGCAGGTTCCAAGGTCCTAAGTAGATAATTATATCAAAAGCCGGAGAAAGGGATGGACACCGGTAGCTAAGCGAGGTTCTGGAATGGGACTCAGTCATTGATTCCTGTATGTCCGCCACTGGCGTGTTATATAAAAGCTGGACCTGGCCTTGAAGGTAAATCGTCACAAGCCTCGAGCAAGAAAAACTGGGGTCAAATCTTAGGTATCTGATTAAAGTAAGTGTCCTATTAACACCTGTCTCTGTCCCCAGAAGCCCACACACCTGGAAGAGACGTAAAATCTGGCCTGGATTCCCTAATCCCAGGGCCCTGCCCCTCCGCTTCAGGGCCCCGCCCCTCGGCGTTGCGCAAACTCCGTTGCTACCTAAGTCTTTTCCTCCTCCCCGCTCCCGTGGCTGTCAAAATCCGGAGTCCAGACTTCCTTAAGGCCCAGGGCACAGCTCCACGCATGCTCAGCACCTACCAGGGTCGAGCTCACACACGTGCTTACGACCCGCCGCGGCGCCTGCGCGGTAGCAGCGCGGAGTCGGTGCCCTTAGTACGGCACTGGCACCTTTAGTCTTGCCGGCCGCGCGAACCCGTTTGTGCTCGGTATCCTAGTGCACACGCCTTGCAAGCGACGGCGCCATGAGTCTGACTTCCAGTTCCAGCGTACGAGGTGAAGTGGGGCCTGGGAGCGGGTGAGGGTAGTGAGGCTCACCGGTTGCTGCGCCCGCAGCTCAGCTGGGTTGTTTTACCGCTGCCCTACACGCCCGCCGGTCCAATAACCTTGAGATGCAGAAGGGCAAGTGCTCGGCCCGGCTGCGGGCTTCGGCCGGGATAGGGAAAGGGGGCGAGGTCAGGGATGGATTGATGGTTTGGGGCCATGCGAGACCAGAGTCCACGTTTTCCCCAACTAGCCAAACCTTAACACCAAATGACCGCGCCGCTAGCTTTTCTTGTTCTCTTCTAAGACGCTTTCATATCCTTAAGTCACAGAGCCTGGAAAGAAAGAAAAGGTGGGAGAAAACAACAGCAAACCTGTTTACCCTTCTGTTTCAGTCAGCGTCGGGCCACAACGTCGATTTCCTGCAATCCTGAAGCATTGCATGACTAATCACATCTTAGTTTTGCAGATTTTTTTTTTCCAGGGATGAAACCCAATCCGAGGTCTTCAGTTTTCCCGGTTTTTTGTTATGCCCCTGGCATCTGGCACTCGGTGGCAGTAGTCCAGGATAAAGAATTGAAACCCGCCTTCGTTGAACCTTCAGCTTTCAGAGTCTTCTTTCCCCAGTGCTAGTACTTAGCGTTTGGAAACAGTATTTCGCAGACAGTCCCTTATAATAAAATTAGGAGACTTTATAAGCAGTCATTTAGTGTGGAGTTTCACTTTATAACCATTCTTGGTGATGTTATAGTTGTTAATATAATACTGTGTACCAGACACACGGTATGTGTGATCCTTGCCCCTCTATAAACCACCACTTCGCAAGGTTTTGAGTAAAGGCAAAGAGATTGTCCAGAGGTTAATTAAAAAAACGTTCAGTAAATATTGAGCATCTGTAGTGCCAGGTAATGTAAAGTCCCTACTAACTTGAGCCCTACTTTTTTAATAGGTAGTTTCCAAAAATTGGAGAGTTCCACTTCTGTTGACAAAATTTACCTGGCTAAGTAAGGGTGATATTCCATGACATTTCGAAGTTACTAATGATATAGAGATTATTATTTGCAAAAATTATATTAAAGGATACTTATCTTGAGACTTTTTTAATAGAGGCAGCTTGGTGCATTTAAAATAGGGTGTGATTTTTGTTTTTGTTTTTTGGAAAACTGTTCTCTTGGGAGTAAGACTTGTGAAATGAGATGTTCGTGTGACTTGTGCCGCTGATACTTTTAATTTTACAGGAAGCCTGCACATGTTTGAGGTGGACCAAAAGATTCCACAATGTGTGTTTAAAATGTGGGATCTTTTTATGCACATGAACACTAAACGTTATTTAGGTTGCATATTATTGAAATGTGAAACAGGTGAACCCCTAGGACTTACCACTATCTGCAGGCTAGTCTGCAAGATTTCTTTTTTAAACAAGTTTTTTTGTTTTGTTTTGTTTTTCAAGTCTAACGATAGAGGAATTCAAAGGCAACTTTCCCAATCATTTTCCATTGCCTAAGGAATAGGAAATCACTGAAGTAGGTTATTGGCTTCAACTGGAAGTATTCAGCTTTGTTATGAGGAGTGACTACTATCTATTTTTTGAGACAGAGTCTCACTCAGTGGCCCAAGCTGGAGTACAGTGTTGTGATCATAGCTCACTGCAACTTTGAACTCCTGGGCTCAAGCCATCCTTTCTCCTTGGTCCCTTGGCTTCCCAAAGTGCTGGGATTACGTATGTGAGACACCACACCCTGCCATGACTACTTTTTTATTTCACCAAAAATCATACAAGTTGTCATGAGGACTGTAGGGAGAGGCCCAAAGCCTGTGTAAATCTCTTCTATCAACACTTCCTTCCTCAATAGAGTAGTAAGTAGGCAGGGTAGGGACAGAGAATGTCAAAGCGATTTAACTTTTAATGTTTAGATCACACAAGTTTGGTTCTACTCTCAAACTTTAAACCAAATTTATTCCTACGGATTGAAAATCAATTTAGATCTTTTCATTGAGGGGAAGACACCATGTCTCTTCTCGATTAAATGAATTTGTAATTATAAAGGGCTTAGAATGATATATGACAATGGTAAGCACTATATAAGTATATGCTAAATATAAAGTGTGTACATATATGCATAACTCTTGTTCATCTTCAGAAGAAAAATAAAAGGTAGTTTATAAATAAAATTTTATGGGGACAAGGCCAGGACTGGAATTGCACAGAGGCAATGAGAATGAATGATTGGAACCGAAATACTCTTAAGATCCTGATCACTGAGATAGCTCTTCATACCAGTATGGTCGATAAGACCATTAGTTTATTATATTTTCTAGTACTAAGTGGCCTTCACTGCCTACTTGTCCAGTCTCTTATGATTCTTCCTCATATCCAAATAGATGACCTTTCTGAACATCATCCTGCTCCTTGATAACTCTAGCACTCATTGATTGCTTTCACCCTTAACCCTTTCCCTTCTGTTTGCAAGGAAGATGTTAACTCTTAGGCTGTTCTCTCTCCACGTCCTCCAGATGCCGTTTTATTTTGCTTAAATCTTTGCCTCAGTGATACCTGTTGCTCGTAAATATTTAGCGCCTCATGAAGATTTTCTTCTCTTCAGCCTAAAGTCACTCATAATTCACCCTCATCTTTAAAAAAAAAAAAGCCAACTAAACCAGATAATTTTAAAAGGCCTTCCTTAACCTGCCTTCCCCTGAAATCACTTTTTTTTAATTTACCTTCAAGTTGCAACATAGGGATTTGTCTCTTCATCTTGTATTTCGTTATCTATCCCAAACCCTGATCATTACAACGCTTGTAACCAAAATTACATTTCATAAATTCTTATCTCTTTTATATTCTTGTGTATTTTATTGAAACTAATTTTCTAATTCATTTTAACCTCAACATAGGAAAATATTGTTTTGGTTCACTAAATTCACCAAGTCATTTAAAGTCACTATTTAAGGGTTTGTTTTTGTCTGAAAAGGAATGTATGGATCATACTGAAAATAAAGGGGATAGCTCCTGTAAGTTATAAACAATAAATGAAAAATAAGAGGGCTGGGCGCGGTGGCTCACGTCTGTAATCCCAGCACTTTGGGAGGCCGAGGCAGGCAGATCATGAGGTCAGAAGTTCAACATCAGTCTGGATAACATGATGAAACCCCATCTCTACTAAAAATACAAAAAATTAACCAGGCATGGTGGCACATACCTGTAGTCCCAGCTACTTGGGTGGCTGAGGCACGAGAATTGCTTGAACCCGGGAGGCAGAGGTTGCGGTGAGCTGAGATCACGCCACTGCACTCTAGCCTGGGCAACGGTGCGAGACTCTGTCTAAAAAAAAAAAAAGAAAAAGAAAAATAAGGGGGGAGTTTGGAGCTATAGATTGGCCAAATTGATGGTTGTTAGAGCTAGTTGAGGGTAAATGGGGTTCATTATAGTATTCCCTTTGTGTGTCTGAAATGGTCCATAATAAAGTTTTTTTAAACATAGCTTCTTATATATGCCTGAAGTTTTTTGTTTGTTTGTTTGTTTTTAATATATCAGAGAGTAAATTCCACACCCTGATACAGCAGGTTAAGAAGAAGGTAAAGATAAGTCATTTAGTGTAAGAGCAATGCAGTGTAAGGACAGAAAAATGGCACATAGGAATTGCAAATTTAATGTAGTCATACATTATTTCTTTTGACTCAACCAACATTATTGAATACCACTTATATGCCAGGCCTTGTGAAAAAAAAAAAAAATTTACCAGGCACAGCCTGCCAGCCTATGGGAGATCTAAGGGAAGGAAAGGTTTAAACACAGCTCCCCTCCCCCTCTCCTGACAGAAGAGGAGAAACATGATTCTATGGCAGTTGATGGTTGGCTGGAGAGGGCAGTTTAGAGCAGAAAAGGGGCTAAGGTAAAAGAAGCTGAGAGAGATTTCTAAGTTAAAGCAAAATAATGCTCACGGTAAAAAAAAAAAAAAAAAAAAAAAAAGCCAAAGATTGGGTTATAAACAAGGCTGTTGAGTTTGGGAACAAGTCCATGTTTTCTCTCTCTCTGAATAATTTTAAAGAGAAAACCAAGTATTATACAATAGTACGCCAATGGAAGAATAAGCAAATGGGAGGATTATTTAGAAATTATTAGAAGTGTTACCTTTCTCAACATTTGTGATCTTTAATGGTATTTGTGTAGATACAAAGCACGGTTACACAAGGTCTGGTAGGGTGGGGTTTGACCTAATTACAGGAATTAACTGTTCCTTGAGAAATGTCTATAGAAAAGAAAAGCGAAGGCCGGGCATGGTGGCTCATGCCTGTAATCTCAGCACTTTGGGAGTCCGAGGCAGGCAGATCACCTGAGGTCAGGAGTTCAAGACCAGCGCGGCCAACATGGTGAAACCCCGTCTCTACTAAAAATTCAAAAATTAGCCAGGCATGGTGGTGAGCGCCTGTAATCCCAGCTATTCGGGAGGCTGAGGGAGGAGAATTGCTTGAACCCAGGAGGTGGAGGTTGCAGTGAGCTGAGATTGTGCCATTGCACTCCAGCCTGGGCAACAGAGCAAGACTCCATCTCAAAAAAAAAAAAAAAAAAAAAAAAGTGAGGGTAATCCAGAAGAGGCAGAAATAATGCTCAGGGGCTGAGTGCCATGGCTCACACCTGTAATCCCAGCACTTTGGGAGGCCGAAGTTGGTGGATCACTTGCGGCCAGGAGTTCAAGACCAGCCTGGCCAACATGGTAAAGCCCCGTCTCTACTAAAAAAAAAAAAAAAAAAAAAAATTACAAAAAATTAGCCAGGCGTGGTGGTGCATACCTGTTATCCCAGCTACTCAGGAGGCTGAGGCAGGAGAATCGCTTGAACCTGGGAGTTGGAGGTTGCAATGGAGCCGGGATCCCGCCACTATACTCTAGCTTGGGCAGTAGAAACTCTGTCTCCAAAAAAAGAGAAAAACAAAGAATGCTCCAGATTTTTTCTAGATCCCAAGTCTGAACCAGTATCTGAAAGGTGCCAACAGAAATATCCATCTGTCTGTGTATAATTTCCTTTTCCTTTAGAGTTGTCAGTGGCATCCACAGCTTTTTGCCAGAAAAGACTGATTCAGGCTGCAGTCATGAAATGATAAAATAGCAACATTTTTTTTTTTAAACTTCTGAGAACTATTGCATTTGTCCCTAATGAGATTAGAGAATTAGAATTTGGGAAGGGAAAAAATAAAAGAAATGGGAATTGTTTTCTTAAAACCTCAGAGCAAATACAAAGCTATTTTGCTTGAACACATGGTACTGTGACATTTGCACAGGGTCACAAGTGACCCTTGCTGGGGAGTAGGGGGTAGAGCACAAAGTATGTGTTTTGATTCCCCATGTGTGTTTTGATGCCTCCATGGGGCAGCTAGTCTTGGGGATCTGGAGTCAGTTTCCATTTCTTTCAATGATGCCTTTGGTGTTACCCTTTTCCATGTCAGTTATTCTGTCATCTCTCCCACCATCACAAAATCCAAGGGAGGTAAAGCTTAAAAAGAAAAGTCACCTGTGGGTGCAGTTGGTAAATTATATGAGAAAAAAGAATGCAAGAAGAATGTTTTAATGACTAGGAGAGATTGTTTTCACCTATCATGATGGGTTTCAAGTAGAAATTCCTATAGTATTCTCTTTTTAGATCATGAAACAAATTAACACTAGCCAATTGTAGTTCTTTGGATCTCAGGACTTTTTGCAATATGTGGGTGCCATCCCAACAAATATGTTATGAAGTACTTTATAATTCACCTAAAAAGTAAAGTATAACTAAAATCAATGGCATTAAGGAAGTTATTTTATTCTTTTAGGATATTGCCCCCCTTTAAGTTTGTACTAAAGACGATGTTCAGCAAATGTTATGGTGCATATACTATGCAAAGCAGCATTTTAGCCCATTTTGTGATAGGTACATTAGCTATTCAGAGTGGCTTTCCATTAGCTAAGAAGTGGATTGCTACAGCTCCTGGCAGAGGGAATGTTTTCTCAAGAAAGTTCCATGGTAAATAACATTAGAAAGGAAGATCATGAATCTAACTAGAAGTCATAGCAAAGTTGCAGACCTGCTTGCAATAACCACAGGGTAATACCATGAAGTGGCACTAAAATTTGAGAAAAATCTACACATAATGTGTACCTACTTAAAAAATGTCTTCTGATGAAGCCAAAGGTTTGAAGCTGTCAGATGATATATTAACTTGTCTTCTCAGTCATGCAGGACCTGGGAAAGACGAAATGTTAATGTTTATTAGGGAATTATAGCAAGAAAGAATGGAAATGTTATGGGAAGGAAAACAGTATAAACTAATTTGTTAAGAAAAGTACTACCGTGGTTGAAAATAAAATCCAAGGAACACGTTAATTAGAAAGCGAGGATAAACCAGAAGAGGCGGAAATTATGCTGTCTTACGAGATGAGCAAAATGCAGGAATAATTTAGATAAAGTCTAAATTATTAAATAAACTAGAAAAGAAGACCAAGATACAAGAAGCTGAGAATGATCCTTTCTATTACAGTTTTAGAAGACTGAGCTCCAGTTTTATGTAAGGTACTATTAGGTATGGTGAAATAAGAAATTTGACTTAATAGTGCAAGTAAACTATACAACTAATTATTCATTATGTGTTTTTATTTGGCCTTGGAATGTGTGTTTTTGTACTTATCTCTCTAGGGTTTTATTTGATAGTCTGGGAACTTATTTCAGACACTGAAGATCTGACTCAGGAAGTGCTGGGAAGGAGTCCAGTGTGTTTATCCTGACCCCTGTTCAACTTCTTCCTGCAGCCCACTCCATGCTGGGAATAGACAACTCTCCTCTGAGGCTGAGGCTAACCAGATTATGCAGAACTTTCTTCTCTCCATCATTGCCTGGAGCTGGGGTAGTTGTTAAGCCCTTGAGTTTCTAAAGACTTGAAAAGCTGCTTGAAAAGAATAACTAGATGGCTTGTTAGTCAAACAGTTTTTATTATTAGAAAGCAGAATACTGCCATTACATTTAAAATGAATTTTATAGGAAAGTAAATTTAGATTTTATTAAATGAGAATATAACTATACTTATATTAATCATGTTTTCTACAAAAAATGAAGTTAGTACATTCTGATTTTTATTTTAATGAGAAAACACTTTGAAATTTTTTTAAAAAGGCCTTTTGAATGCAGAATGGCTTTGAAACCTGGAATCCCGCCACATATATTCCTTTGAGTGTTTCACATTAAAGGTGGTTTTATTTTGTTTGTTTCTTTGGGTATCATTTCTCTTATAGCTTTCTGCAATAGTTGCAACTGAGTTTTGGTAACTTAAATCATTTAAAAATCACTAAGGGATCTTACTATTTAAACTCAAATGAGTCATTTTGTTAACATAACAAAATGTTATTTGTAATCTGAATTTTTATGTTTCAGGGCTTTTTCTTTTTTTTTTAAGCAATAGGTACCTGCAAGTTCACATGTTATTTAAAATCTACTTCTAAACATTTTTTAAATGATTATGGAGCTTTGGGTTTTTTTTAGCTCCAGCTCTAAAATAATAGTTTTAAGTTTCTTCTTCTTAATGTAGCTGTCATCACTCAGCAGAAAATACACAATTGCTTCAGTAAGGGCCAGGGAAAGTCATAACAAAGGACTATTATACCAGTGTTTTCTGGTCATTTTGTTAACATTAAAAACCTTGGACTATTAGGATGCTTAATACTCAAAAACTGGATTTTCTGAACATTCATGTGATACTATTAGTGTATATTTTGGTTTTGATAATTATTTTTTTTTCCTTCCCTGCTCTAGTTGAATGGATCGCAGCAGTTACCATTGCTGCTGGGACAGCTGCAATTGGTTATCTAGCTTACAAAAGATTTTATGTTAAAGATCATCGAAATAAAGCTATGATAAACCTTCACATCCAGAAAGACAACCCCAAGATAGTACATGCTTTTGACATGGAGGATTTGGGAGATAAAGCTGTGTACTGCCGTTGTTGGAGGTCCAAAAAGGTGAGGAAAGCCATTCCTTCATACAGTACCATTTTTAATGTTATTTCTTTTTAAATTATTCTGTCAGACTTGTGTCACCAGATATTGTTATGATATCCCTTTTTTGTTGTTGTTGAGACAGTCTATTCTGTCATCCAGGTTGGAGTGCAGTAGTGGGATCTCGGCTCACTGCAACCTCCACCTCTGGGTTCAAGCGATTCTTGTGCCTCAACCACTGAGTAGCTGGTATTACAGGCATAAGCCACCACGCCTGACCTGTTATAATATCCCTTTTCTTTTTCTCTCTTTCTTTCTTTCTTTCTTTTTCTTTTTTTTTTTTTTTTTTTTGAATCCTATTTTTCTTTGTCTTCCATACGCTCTTAAAGGAATATATTTTCTAAAATATCTAACCAGTATGCAGTAGAATTACATTGTACCTTCATCAAGTTCAGGCAGATTTAACCATATTCTTGGCCAAAGAAAAGAGGAAAATCCCTTTAATTTGCTCTTAGGATTTCTTAGCTTCCACTGTCCCAGGAAGTGAAGTGTACAGCCTAATCACAAAGAGAAGCAAAAGAAGTAAAATATTTTTTTGAGCTTTCAAACACCGGATACTAAGACAAGTGTTAGAAATTTGAAAAGAAACTTCTTTAAAATTACCTGTAAAAACTTACCTGGTAAATGTCCTATACCTTCTTTCAGCTGCAACTCCTCCAGTTAAATATCTAACAATATAGGATCCTAAAATCTTATTTTCTTATATGAGAATTGTGTTTTATCAAGTCCCTTTTGGAAGTGTCATCTATGAAACCTGCAGGTTTTAGACATGATGGCAGCTAGCGATCCACAGTTGATAAAATACTGTCTCAAGCATCTCAAAAGGATTTGTACACCGAATGGCTTCGGGATTTCTGGTGTGTTGTGAGAAATATGGTATAAACACTGTACTACCACTCTTAGCATTCAAATAAAATGGATTTCAGCAGGGCGTGGTGTCTCACACCTGTAATCCCAGCACTTTGAGTGGCTGAGGCAGATCACTTGAGCCCATTAGTTCAAAAGCAGCCTGGGCAACATAGTGAGACCATCTCTTGAAAAAAAAAAAAATAGCCAGGCATGGTGGCATGCATCTGTAGTCCCAGCTATTCAGGAAACTGAAGCAGGAAGATCATTTGAGCCCAGGAGATTGAGGCTGCAGTTAGCTGTGATTGCACCACACTGTGTTCCAGCAACAGAGTGAGACCCTGTCTCAAAAAATAAAATACAATGGATTTTACACACACACACACAAAAATGACGTTAAAGGGCCCTCAAAAAAATCAATAAAAATGATGTATCTGTTTCTGAAAGCACGTTATGTTTGGGATCTCTTCCCATAGTAGAGGGTCATTTTCACAAATAACTTGTCACAAATATGGAAGAAGCCACATACTAGGTACAGGTTAAGCTGTACCTTCTTATTTGGATTTCTCTAATCCAAATAATCCAAAAATTTGAAATCTGAAAGGCTCAAAAATTTGAAATATTTTGAACACTGATATGATACCACAAGTGGAAAATTCCACACGTGACCTCATGTGACGGTTCACCAGTTGAAGTCAAAACACAGGCACACAGGACACAGTTAATTCAGTGACCCAAAGGGAAAAAAAGGCCCCCCCAGCTGCTGATGTCGGTATTCTGGTGGTGCTACTATGCTGCTTAATTTCCCGGAGCACTTTTTTTTTTTAACTGAATTAATGGTATGGTATGTTTTTTACTATTAAGTACTCACATGTGAATACATGCAAGAAAATGTTTGCTTATCAGTAGCATATAAATTCGTAGTCGGGAATGATGGTGATGCAAGATAACCACAGATTGTCCACATGTGTGACTGAGATGGTGACACCTTTGCTTTCTGATGGTTCATTGTATACAAACTTTGTTTCATTCACAAAACTATGTAAAATAGTGTATGAGATTACTTTCAAGCGGCTGGGCGCGGTGGCTCGCACCTGTAATCCCAGCACTTTGGGAGGCCGAGACGGGTGGATCACGAGGGTCAGGAGATCGGCTCCTGGCTAACACGGTGAAACCCCGTCTCCACTAAAAATACAAAAGGTTAGCTGGGTGTGGTGGCAGACACCTGTAGTCCCAGCTACTTGGGAAGCAGAGGCGGGAGAAAGGCGTGAACCTGGGAGGCAGAGCTTGCCGTGAGCCGAGATCTAGCCACCATACTCCAGCCTGGGCAACAGAGCAAGACTCCATCTCAAAAAAAAAAAAAAAAATTACTTCAGGCTACGTGTATAAGGTATATATAAAACATAAGTAAATTTTATGTTTAGGCTTGGATCCTATCCCGAAAGATAACCTCATTAGGGATATGCAAACATTTCAAAAGTTGGAAAAATCTGAAATCCAAAACTCTTCTGGTCCTAAACATTTTCTTTCCATTTTCTTATGACCAAGTATTTCAGATAAGGGTTACTGAACGCACACTAGAAAGCATATTTCACTCCTTTCTCCCAATAGGTTTGCTGTTGTACAATCCAGTGATAAAGTACTTAGGTTATGCCATTTTGTTCAAAAACTCCTTGATGAGTATATTGAATATAAACCAAAAATTAATAGACCCATTACAACAAATTATGAAGAGCACTATTCATTTGGAATTTGGAATTGTTGATAACTACTAGTGGGGTTACTGGAAAATAGTAAAGTAATACATCTAGAAATTGTGGAATTTCTAAGTTGGAGTTTTATAGTTCTTTAGTCAGTGATCTTCAGTAGTTCATTTACTATCTACTATATGTGCATGCGTGAGAAACATTAAAGAGTAAAACAGATGTCACAGATGTATATAGTACATGCAGTGTAAGTGGTCTAAATAAATGGAAGCTAAGAGGAAGAAATTACACCGTAAGGCTGGATGCAGTGGCTCACACCTGTAATCCTAATACTTTGAGAGGCCAAGGCAGGAGGATCACTTGAGGCCCGGAGTTCAGGACCAGCCTGGGCAATATGGTGAGACCCAGTCTCTGTTTTGTTTGTTTGTTTGTTTGTTTGTGTCTTAATTAAAAATAGACCACATCTTCTGGGAAAGCATAGTCATATACTTGGGAGTCAAATTGCTCTGAGAAAAATTGGTAGCATTTGAATAAACTGCATATATTGGAGACTCTCAAAATCTGCAAGAAAGGACTTGTGAACAAAGGTGAAATGGATAAAGAATCTAGTCTGGTTCTTGTACTGCCCTCCCCCCAAGGAATAAATCTAAATTGAGGAGAGTCTTGAGGACAATGTGGGGAGTTTGTGACTCCAGACATGGGGAGCTCCTTGACAGGGGTTTCAGACATAGAGTTATGATACTTTTATCATGCTAGCTATGGAAATGGAGACAAATGAGCGGACATGAAACATTTCGGGGAAAGGATCAGCCAAATGCACTGACTTCTGTGTGAAAGACTAGGGGAGAAAAACTAAAGCTCATTGAAGGATCTAAGCATGTAGGATTAGAAGAGGGTTATGCCATTAACAGAAATAAGAGATTCGAGGTGAAAGGCTAATTTTCCAGGACAGCTATAAGTTCTGTTTCAGAGCGAATTTGAGGTGGTAGTTGAATGGAAATACACAGCAGACAGCGTGAAATGTGAGACATCAGGGTTGGAGATAGAGATCAGCAAAACTGATGAGTCAAGTGTAGGAATGCAACTGATCTTTGATATGGATAAAAATCAAGGGCTAAATATGAAATCTTGGGGAATTTTCTGCATTTTGGAAAGGGCACAAGAGCCATTTAAGGAGATGGAATGGGCCAGAGAGGTTAGAATAAAACTAAAAATACCATAGCTTCAAAGTAGAAGAGGGAAAAGTTTCAAAGATTTAGTACTGAACGTTGGCCTATGCAAAGACAGCTACGTGAATAGACAAGACTATTAGATTAAGCAATTCCCCTTTTGGTGTCATTTCAACGGAGTAATTAGAATAGAAGCTATATCCAAGTGAGTTAAAGTGTGAATTAACTAACAAAGAAATGACAGAAGTCTATGTCAGATTTTCAGTAGATGCAACAGTGAATGGAAAGAAAAGTAAGATAATTGCTTGAGTGAACACTACAGCTTGGCTTTGAGATCAAGTAAAGTGTGTTTGCTTTGATTTGGTTTTCCCAGAGGGCAAAGAATCCAATGAAGTAAATGTGGGCTTTCATGAACTAAGATCTCAAATATTTTAGGAAGAATCACCAATGGACACAAACTAGTGGTGTAAATGTTTATTAGACTTTATAATTCAAAACATTCCAGGATTATTCTTTCATTTTACAATTTAGAGTTTCCAGATGGTTAGGCCAGAGACTGCCATTTCCTGTAGGTGAACTTCAGGAGAGGGAATGAGACCAGTCATTTTATTTCCAGTTTTCTCATGCCTTTTTTTTTTTTCCCTCTGACTTACCTTTCATGCCATTTAGTGATCCTCTTTGTGTCTTGAATTTGTCAGTTCTGAATTTTCATTGCATCTTGGGCACTTATTCCTGCATTAATCAATTAACAGTTTGCTTTGAATATTATCCAAGTTAACAAATGTTAATATTCTTCAGACACTTTTGGAAACTCCCCACATTCCTGTGGTTCTAAGGTTATCACACAGGTGCCAAGTCACACACTTGCATGCCAGTTCACAAAGACTAATTAATACCTTTGATTAAGTGGCTACCTTTAGTTTATAGTCAGTAATTTTTCCCTCATACAAACCAGTTGTATTTATAACAAAATTTAAACATCATTTTACCAATGGAAAAAATGTTATATGCGATACAAACTTCAATTCTAATTCATTCTTAAGGTACAGTCACTAGTAACCTGTTATGTCTCTGTAACATTTTGAGCAGGTTTCTCAACCCCAATGAATCAGATTTCTTAGTAATGTGCAGAAATTACTTTTTTAAAAAACATATCCCTCCCTTTTGTCCAGTGCTTCTCTTGCCAGCATTGGTGTGTCATCTGATGTTTCAGAAATTGGCTTGGCTTTTTTTTTTCTTTTTC